CATTTCATTGAGCTCCGCACTTGACCTAACCTTTTCAAAACGTTAAAAGGTATATCTACATCTACACAGTAAAACCGCCATCAAATCATTGTGCTCTTTGTAGTTCTTATCAAGAGTTTTCGTAGAGCTACAATTACATACTATAACATAACAACTGGAGAGTAAAAACAGGGTAGTTTTAGTGTCGTGTTTAGTCACACAGAGTCCATAATTTTTTAACGTGATAACCTACCGCAGTGTTCACACCGCAGTGTTTTTAACATATGTATCAGAATAATGCAACGATAAATAATCCTATTGGAATTCCAAATAATTCCGACAGTACAAAGTTAAAGCTATACATGCGGATACAGTTTTCTCATCAAGTAGGAAGCAAAGCCCATCTAACACCATTGCTGTTATTAACTTCAAATCATCCAGTTGTAAAATGCAACTTCATATCAATTGAAAGTAAATAAATACCGTCACTCTATCCGCGTAGTTTTAGGTTCTAACCACAGTTACTATGATACTTTCATTTTATTTGTTTGCCGCAATTAGTCAACAACTTTGAGTCACCTTAGATCATCTGGGTCAGATAAAGACTTGTGCAGAAATTAAGTGACAAATAGGCGCTATCTTTGCAGAGACCATTTTATATCACCTTTGACAAATTGAAATTTATATGTTAACGCAAGTTAAGATAATCTGTCAGGTATTCAGCTTTGTGCTACTGTGGAAAGACGTACTTGAATGCTCCTTACACTGCCCCACATACTCTTTAAACTAGTGAAATCTATATTACATCAGTAAGATATACTGGACTTTAAAACATATCTTTATATGAAATTTATTTCAATGAGTCAGTAATACATTGCATATGACATACTATAGCGGATCACCCAAGTGTTAACAGTTATTATTAAGCAAAAATGCAAAGATAAAGTTTAAAATTTTTTTTAAAATTATGTATACTTTATAAAAAATATTTACTGCTATATATTAAAGCACAGTTCATCCAACATTTCTTATAAGGACTTAAAAAAAGTTACATACTTGTATATATTTGATGACAAATCTGTCGGCGTTCCCTTTGTCATATAAAAAAATACTCAAACATTTAATGTTCTTAACAAGAGCCGCCTAAGACCGCCTGAGACCGCCAACCAATAACAACAAATTGTTTAACACAACGAGACATACCACAGACAGACCGCAACCGATCGACAGGCCACGGTCTGTGCGGACAGACGCATATTAAGCTTATAAATAGCATTAAATGCTCAAAGATTATAGTGCACACAATAAAATTATTAATAAAAAATAATAATCGGACAATAAAAATGAATAACAAATTGTTATGTGTGAATGCTGCAGTTACCCCCTGCATACCCTAAAAGCGCTCTACTAAGCGGCACGAAGCACGTATCAAATTATTGTTAGTATGGCGAGTATGGCTAGTATGGTTAGTATGGTTAGCATGGAAAGCACTGAAAGCGCCGAAAGCAGCGGCAACTTTAGCGCAAATGCGACTGTGGCGCAAACGGCGCAAACAGCGCAAATGCGCGTGTGCGCAACTGAACAAAGCATGAAGACTGAACTTTCTGCGAGTTACGTTTAAGAAGAAGAATTATTAATGCATATAGGTTTGTTGTGGTTTCTTTCTTTTTTTTCAACTTCGATCAATTTTATTAAAAGAAGTGTTTTTTTTTTTTTTGGTGAACACAATATTACACGCATCATTATGTTAATGCCATTCCCGCCGCCGCGCATGCGTATCGCTTATGTGCGGCAGAGTCTGCGCTTTCTGTTTCTAAGCTGTTACCGTCGGCGGTAAATATATGCCACTGTTGTGGCATAACGCTCTTCACTGCTTCACTGCTTCACTAGCAGCGAAGCAGCATCTGTCGGTATGTTTCTTAGTCGAGTACGTGAATGTAAAACGCTTTTTAGTGAGATTTCTTGGCTGCTTGAGCGAACCATTACCACTGTTCACTCACTTAATGCAGTGATTGCAGCGCTACGTTTTTTCTCCTTTATGGAGTATTCGTAACGAATTGCATTTCGCTGCGGTCATCTGTGCATTTTCGTATCTTTTTTCCACATTTAATGCTAGCTGCTACCTTCCATGTATCTTCTTATATCTGTATATATTCGGTATGTGTTTTTGTAAGTGTGTGTGTATGTGTATATGTGTGTTGAGGTTAAGTTTGTGGTCCGAAAGGTCATTACCGTCCCAAAAAAGACGATAACGACAATAACGAAATCATATAAAATTTAGAATTGATGATGTTCAATGAAGTGTATAAAGTGAAATTAGTAGCATTTAAATTTGACTACATTTAAAACTCATTTTAGCATTTATCTTTGGTTCATTGGCGAAACAAATTGCACGATATTTCCTCACTTACCTTCTAACATCAGAGAAATGAGTTTCTTTAGAACTAAAACAGTTTTACAGATTTACAGATTTACAGATTTACTACTTACTAGTTTGAATAATTTTTTTAAATAATGCATTTTATGAATTCTTTTTATTGGTTTCATTAGTAAAGATTTGAAATAGTAACTACTAACCTTTCGTTTTATTTTTTAAGAATCTTAAGTGTACACTACAATCATTAAACTTTTAATTTGAGTTCATCTTCGCTTAACGTGAAGGGTACAATAAAAACTAAAACACCTGTAATTACAAGAAGTTTAATAGCTCACTTCACTTACTACTCACTCTATCTTAACTCTTATTAATGTTAACATATATCAGTCGTTACAGGTAAAACAATAATAAATCGTTTTATTTATTAATATTTGAACTCTAAAATATAATATGAATCATAAACGAGAGGTTACAAGAGTTTAAGGCACTCGAAAATAGCTCTGCGATTGATATCACTTATTTAGCCAATTAAATTCAGAAGCCTATAATGCTTTGAATAGAGAAAAAATGTGTATTTGGAAAAATAAGTCGTATAAAACTGAGCAGTGAAGTCGTGAGACTTTGAATGCCCCCAAAAACAATTATTAAGATCATGTATACAGTATACTGCTCTTCTCACTACGCTACTGATATTAAGCAGGAAGCATACTTTGTACCGATGCAGCATAGCATTTTAGATCCCCACATCCCAGAAATCATTCATAAATATAATATGTATAATATACTTGTCCTGGGCACCACTTAGACTGCTTCCGCGAGTAGTACCTGTAATATGCTAGGCCTCACATCTCCATCTCGCTACGCTACCGAAACTGAGTTAGCAGCACAACTAGCATCCGAGACAGCGTAGCTATTTGGACAATATAATTCTCATAATAATTGTCAGAGTCCTTTCATGAGTGGTGCTCGTGATATGAGCACGTTATATTGAGTCCATTATGTTGTATATATGAAAGAAGTTGTTCTGAAAGTTAAGACTCGATTTTCACGAAATTCGCGGTAGACCTAAAAAATATCTATTGAACTGTACATATTAAATACAGTCATGCAATGAATACTTAAAAATGAACTCAACGGGAAGCAACATAATTTCCAAGAGAGACACAATTTTAGGCTACTCCAAAGAAAAAAATACACTTGTTAGAGTGGAAGATCTCTTCTGTTAGCACAAACTCCGTAATCTAGTTATATGAGAACAATTTCCAACTTAGCAATTTGTATACACGTATAATAATTAAGTTTACTTGAAGATAAAGGTCATACGAAAAGCTAGATATACAAATAGTCACAAAAAGTCACGATTTGATCGATAAGCTCTATTGAAATATTTAGAACTTATTGGTCTAAGTCGCCTTAAGGACGGAAATAAAAAAAACCAGACTGGGCATGTGCAAAGGGAAGACAATAAAAAAGTGAGCTTATCTTTCCTCGTTTTGAATCCTTATGATCTATGATTTATCCTCCTAGGTGTTTTTTCTGCTGGTGCATCAGTGTTGGGCACTTCCCAAGCATATGGTATGTGTTTCTTTCTTTTTCTACAGTATCTCCAGTCTGAGTTGGATTGAATTCCTAACTTCGATAGGTGATTATTCAATCTATAGTGACCGGTCAATAATCTCGTAATAATTCTTAGGTTATTCTTTTATTGTGCTATGCAATCTTTGAAGAGTTTTAGGTTGTAAGTCCAGAAAAAAATTTTAGATTGTGAGAGTCTTGGTAGCCTTTACAATTTTTTTTTTACTCTGTACTTGCTCTAAAAAATAAAAAACGTAAGACCGCCTCATTTATTTGAAGTCTCTAATACGATCAAAGAAGTTCTAATCTATATTTTTTAATATACGTTACAATTGATCTGAAAAATTTTAGACTATTTCATTTACTTAAATACTCTCTTATAAGATCAAACTTGTTCTGACTAATATTTTATAATTCTGATTAATTTCTCCATATTAAAAGCCGTATAGACATGTCCTACATTTTTATTATCTGTCATTATTTGAAAACTGTTGAGCAAAATATATCAACATGAAAGATATGTGTTATGCGTTTTGGAAAACGCCACATAAAAAGTTGATATTAATATAAAATAGCGTAAAGTTATAGACAAGCGTGTACTAACTCAATAACCTAAACCTTGGAAGCTAAGCTTTTAATTATACACACCTATTCGTAGCACCATTGTGTAGTACAGAGCCACAGACAGCGGACGGACAGGCGTAGATACACTTGCATTGCGATATTCGTTAGACGTGTAGACGTGGCAACGTAAGATTACGATTTTTTTTTAGTTTTATTTATGGTATATAAATTATCTTACACGTACTATTGACAGCTTTAAAATAATAATAATAAAATGAAACAAAAAATAAATAAAATGATATAAAAAACAAAAAATAAAAAAATATTTATAAATAAATAAAATATAAAAGCAAAATTGCTGGTGTATAAGGAAACTTGAGGAGAACACCACATCG